AGAGAAGTGAGAGAAGAAGCCGCACACCAATGGGAGGGGGGGGCCCCAAAGAGGAGCCAGCCCTCCACTCTCCATCTCCCCACCCCCAGAAACAGGGCTGGAAAGCTCCCCACAGCAGTGTGACTGGCGAAAATGCTGCCCCCACAGAAAGTGCGACCAGTAAGTGAAAACATCAACAAAAACAAAACCTCAAGTTCTTTTTAAAAATGACTTTAGGGACAAGCAGGAGGGAGGGAGGGGGGAGGGGAAAGGAGGGAAGAAGGAAGGGCACGGAGAGGAAGCCGTAGGGGCAGAGAGAATTGTAGATGGACAGCCAGCCTCAGATTCCGAGGCACAGGGCGTTGCTGTGGACATTCCGTCTGCCCCAGAGAAAAGAGGAGGGTAACTGAGAACTTTGCACTGATTTCTCATGACCTTTTTTCTTTTGGAAAAGTGGCATGCTCCATAATATGAAAAAAAAATGTACATTTGAAAGACTGAGTGATAAGTGATATATCATATTTATTATATGTTGTCCAAAAAAGAGTCACTTATATACGTTAGTAAAACATGATTTTTCTTTTCATGTCTTTTTGATTCAGTAAAATAAATGCTTAGACAAAAATATAGATTTTTTTGTGATTGAAAATTACAAAAATAAAGTTTATCTTTTTTTAACAAGCGATGAAATTCAAGGGAGCTGATTTTACTAAAGCAGAACGTACTATGATGAAATGCCTGACTTGGTTTAGGGGGAAAAAATCCCTCCCATCATATTAGGAATTTACAAAATCTGTAACGACTTTGGGTTGAGTTATATAAAAGCAGCTCCAGTTTTCACGCTGGTCTCTTCCGAGCCGTTATTTGATGTGTGAATTCCTTTCTTTTTAAGAGGATGATTTCAGAGCAGCCCGGGAGGCGGAGGAGGAAAAGTCTCCGCTTGTAGGCCGCTGGTGCTGGCTGAGTGGGGCGGCCAACTTCCCCCGCTCCCAGACTGCCGGGCAGCCGCGGTCTGTCGGCCCCTCCTCCTCCTTCTCCTAGGCTCTTCCCGGGGCAATGAGGGTCCCCAGCGCTGGGCAGCGGGCGGGTGGACGCTCCTCGGGCCTCGCAGCTGTTCTGCAGCCCGCAGCCCGGCGCCCACGCGGCGGGACAGCCTGCGAGCGGGCGGCTGCAGGGCGCGCAATTAGGACGCCCGGGGGACTCGAGAGGCCCGGCTAACAAACCCTCGTTGCGGCTTTGATCCTTGCGTTCTCGTTCCCCAGCGGGCATCCAGCCCCCACCTCCGCGCCGCGCGCCGAGCCTCTTGTCCTAGTGAGTTTGTTGTGCCGGGATGCCTTGGAGCAGGAATCCAAGTCTGACCACGACAGGCTTGCCAAGCTTTTTATCCGCACCCATGGATGGGTTGGGACCACAAAATGAGGGGCCCTGCCCAGAGGATGGAGGTCTCTGGGAGCGTGTGTGAACGGATGTGTAAATACTTGTAGCATCTCTGCGAGGGCTGCAGGTGCACCCCACCAGACTGGCTCCCCCCAGGCTCAGCACTCAAGACTAAGGGAACAACAAAACAGGGGTTCAGTTCTAGGGCTGCTCCCACCTTCTGCAGCCCCAAGGGCATTTCCTGAGAGCCGGAGTTAGATCCCCCAGGTGGGTATTCTCATATCTCTAGCTTCACTCCTGCCCTGGTCCCGTGTCAAAGGGACACACAGCCAGAACACATCCAGACCCATCCTCCAACTTTCTCTGATGTTGAACCTTAGTAGAGTTAAAAACATTTTTTAAAAAGTGGAGTGCTATGGGAGTGTGGATTGGGGAGGGGTGGGAAGGAAGAAGGCAAGAAAGGGGTGAAATCCAGGAGGAAATTGCCTCAGGCGCCTTGATCAGTCTTTGGCTAATTAGGGAGTGGTTTGCAGATTTCTATCTAGCTCATCAATTTGCTTCAAAAGTGGTCTTGGTCTTGTTTGATTCTAACAAAAGGGTCTGGACTGGCCCTTCTCATTTTCTTCCTGCTGAGCTGGGGGCACACTCAAGATAGCTGGGTTGGGCTGGAAACTGGGCACCACTGTGTCCAGTGGGGAATGCCCAGTGCCTGGGCACTCTAGCAGACTCTCCTTGTTCCATCTTAGCTGCTGGTGGGTTTTATAGTGAAGTTTAAATGCCTCAAAAATAGTCTGCCTGGGCCTAAAAGGGCACTCTCCACGTCTGGGGGGGGGGGTGTACTACAGCTTTTGTCTGCACTGGCCCCGGGGCCAGTCAGCTTCGGGCACAAGAGGGACCTGGAAGTCACTGGAGTTCACACATCACACATTCCCTATGAAGAATGACCTCAGGTCCAGTTGGGAAAAACACATAAACAAACTTACAAATACAAGCAATGCCACAGCACCCATCTGCTACCAGCAGTCAGCCCGCAGTTCACCAGCCACTCTGCGGAGGAGCCTGCCTGTTGCCCCTTCGCTCTCAAGGCTGAACTTGGACTCCATAGGTGGACAATGCAGGGGGAAGCGCTATGTCTATACAGACCAAGTTTTCTTAATTAGCCTTATATTCCACTGCTGTTAGCCATTACTCTGGATCCCCCAGAGTCCTCCTAAATTTGCTTTTCATCAGAGTCATGTTTTCTTCAATCCCCTAAACCGGGGAGCTAAAAGTGTCAGTTCCCCTCTAAATTTGTTTTAGTTATTTCCTGTCGCATAAAAGTTGGCAAACTGGATATTAGGGATGGGTGTTGTTTCAGGAAGAAAACTGAGTGCTGGATTTCTTCTTTTCATTCTTTTCTTTCTGCTGCAGCACTGCCAAGGGCACTTAATCAGGTGCCCTTCTATCTAAATGTCCCCAAACTATGGCTTAAAAGTCAAATGCAAACCCATCCTTTTCCTCAAAAGGGGTCCTCTGTTCCTCTGTGCTTGTCCAACAAAGATGGGGATTGGCTAAGAAATGAGGAGTGCAACCCTAGGTTTTCTGAAAAGCAGGAACAAAGATAACAGGCAAAGGTCTTTTCTCATGGGAGATCTGGAGTCAGTTATGGAAGCCCAGAGGACAGCTGTCCCTGGGAGCTGTGCTCCTTTTCTTTTTCCTTAGCTTCACTTGGTGTCTGAAGGGCACTCCACGGTTGGATTTTATTTGGATTGCGCTTTGATTAAGGTGGGGACTGGTAAATCAGGGAATTGCAGTGGCAATCTTTGCTTCCTCCAGAAACCCAGGAAAAAGAACTTGTTTCAGAGAGATGTTTACACACCCACAATGACCCCCTTAGATTTGCCCACTCCGATATCCGCTCTGGGACCACAGCAAACCTAGCAGAAATCTGTAGTCAGGTGAAGTAAAAAGTTAACTCCCCGGCCAGCAGCCAGCCAGTTTAGTCCAAGCCAGCAATTTTCAGTGAGTTGTAAAGTAACGATTGCAGCCTGTCTCTAGCCTCCA